TCCCCACTCTCCAGCCTCACTTGCTGTCCGTGTTCCTCAAGCGCACCAAGCCTCCTGCAAACCCCTCACGTCGCCTATTGCTGTGCTCCTTGCTTGGCCCATATTTCCCCGGGGTTTTGGCTCAAACATGGCCTCTTCAAAGAGCCTGTCCCTGATCCTGCCTTCCCAGGACTCTCTCTAGCTCTTGACCCTATTTCTTCCCTTCCTGTATCTCCTCCACCTCTGTTTGTTCTGTGCATTTGTCCATCTGTGAACCACCAGCATATAAATCCCTGAGTTGTGCTCTGACGATGAGCGTGAGTCCTAGAACGAGGCTGCCTGCCTCAAAGGCTGGCTATGTCACTTACTAGGCACGTGACCTTAATTAAATCACCTAAATACTACGCCCCAGATTCCTGACCTATAAATGGAAACTATAATCGAACCTTGTCACAAACAGTACCTTGTAAATAACACCTTACACATGAAATCAGCTAATGTGCATGAAGACTTGGAACCTAACCGGTGTATACGTATAAACGGCCTAATTGAAGTTAACGCTCCTAATTGTTGCTGTTTACTGCTGTCTCTGGTGCCCAGCACAGTGCCTGGCATATGACTGGACCTCAGGAAATATTAGCTGAACACAGGAAATCATGCACAGATGGGTAAGAGCCTCCAGACATGTCCGGATTAAGTGCTATGGAACTGAGGGGAAGAGCAGTTCTCTGCCAGAGGTGCCTGAGGGTCAGGAGGGCTGCAGGAGACAGCACAAGCCACAGAGCTCACGTTGGGAAAGGCTTCAGGGAGACTTTGGAGGTGTGGGCTCTGCAGAGTAGTCAGGGGATAGTGGGGAGGTCAAGGGGCAATCTGGGTTATTTTCACTTCTGCAAGAGGACAAAGAATGATCCCAGGTTAGCCTCAGAGATGCTCCCCTAAGTCTGAGGGCTCTGCTCCTATCACCTCTCATGCCTCCCTCAGCCACAGAGGAAAGAAAGCAAAACAAAATGACATGACTGAAGTGTTCTAAAGCCACGCAACTGCACCCTTTTCCTGGAGGCAGAGACTGGAGAGAAGCAGGAGTCAACCTTTTTGCACCAGCTCAGGAAAGATGCTGGCCTGGCTTCTGAGAAGAGGGGAGGGCAGAGAGGAACGTGTTGTCCACATGACCATTTTCAGTTTTTTATGGACGACCAAGGGTGTTCAAGATCCGAAGCTCAGGCCAGAAACCTAATGAAAGGGAAGAGTTAAAAGTTCTCCTCCTCTTTCTCTATCTGGGCCATGAACTCCACCACCCAAAACAGCACATCCACACACATCCAGCCAGGAGTCACTGTGGAAACATTCCAGCTACGCCTGATCGTATGGCTGGGAACCTGGGGAGCGCGCCCTGCCTGCCGAGGCAGAAGGCAGCTCTTCCTCCTCTCACTCCCCCCGCTCTCTGGTGGCATGGGGGTGTGCACACACGTGTGCACGCGCTGTCATCCTTGCCAGGGCAATGATTCCTCACTGAAGAATCCCACTGGGACCTTTCCACTCACTTCAGCAAAACCACTGCTATAGATTCCTGGTGAAGGCAAGGGGAGACTGGATGTCCCCAACAATCAGACTGGCTAAGACGGGTGGGGTGAGGGCCTGGGCCCCGCAGGCCAGGGCAGCAAGCAGCGCAGCTGCGTTGCCTCTCTGGGGTGGTAGTTAAGAAGGACGGCTCAGCTGAAAAGGCAGTATCATTAGGAGTCTGGAGCAAACCAAAGCTCCTGCTGAAAGAGAGGCCAGGGCAGACGGAACCCACGAGGGGAACAATTAACTGATAAGAGTAAACTAATTGTTATTCATATTAAATTAGGGCACAGGTGATTTGGAGAAAACCCACAGACCCTCCCAGATGTTTTGCAGGTTTTGCATTGCAGATGACGGTTTTACAGCACTCTTCTGGGATTCAGATTATGGGAACTGGGCCAGGACCAGAGCGGGGGCAGGGCTCCCGTCCTGCTTAACTACACAATAAACACATAACGGTTTGTCCCAGAGGACAAACCCGGGCTTTGCATACTAAACATGCTGGTGCAAGGCTTTGGGGGCCTCTGAGAAGAGGGGCTCACTACTGGCAGGGAAGGCAGGGCAAAGGGAAGATCAATCATTCAGGGAGACCTAGAGGTGCTCCAGATGTTTGGAGCAAGGGGCAAGCTGTGGGGATGCACCAAGTCCAGACACGGGAGGGAAGGATTTCCACAGACCTGCAGAGGCCAAGCAGGAAGACAGGGGTGGGAGTGTGGCTGACCTGGGGGGATGGCATGTGTACACGTGTGTCTGTGCGGGTGCAGGTGCTTCAGGTACGTCCATGTGCAAGCATTTACATGTGCACATGACATATTTCAGACAGTGTGTGTGTGTTCATGTGGGTGAATTTGCATGTGTCGCCACCTCTCTGTGCATGTTTTGTGCTTACATAGATGTCAGTGCATTTGTGTGTGTCCATATACTTAGGATGTTGCCAAAACTTCCCACCAAAATGAATGGCAGGCTGTTGTCTCTTCACTGAGCCTTATCATGCTAATTTTAATCTCCTATTGTTGTTTTAAATTGGCTCTAAAAATTAATATTAAAAATTCTGTAAACAGAGCCTGGGACTAAGATGCAAGACAGGTCCCTAGAAAGCGGCTATATTGTCACAATCGTTCCTGCCAGAATGCTGAGGTAAAGCCGGGAATCCCCGCAGATGGCAGATCTGAGCCACAGCCCAGCAGGACCAGTCGGACCACAGCCCACTTAGTCCAACCCCCCGTTTCACTACAGAAACCGGCCCTGAGGTGAAGCCTTTTGCTAGTGCCTTCAGAACTGGCCGGAAACCCAGTCACCATGTCCCTGAGCTCTCTTGAGCCCACCCCGGTGGGTGTGTTTCTCTGTTGGTAACATGAGGGTCTGGAACGAGACAATCTTCATGGTCATTTCATGACAAATCCCATTTGGTGATTGGGTGACTACGGCTGGCTGGCTCAGCAGAGGAGGGAGACAACGTGCCCTCCCGAACGGCCTGGCCCCTCCTCGGTGCTCTCTGGTGCCCCTGCCCATGCGGCTTCTGCACCTACCCTTCCCCTGCCTTCAGCTGGTGTGGAGTCTAAGGAGGAGCAGAGTATGGAGACTAGGAAAATACCAGAGAACACAGGCAGGAAAGGCCTCTTAGCAGAGTCTAAGAGAGAGGGTGCTCGTAGGGGCAGAAGAAGGCTGAGCAGGGCTGGCTGGGATTCCACGCGTTAAGAGAAGGGGAAATGCTCCCGCACTGCCGCAGAGGGTACTCAGGTCAGATTCAGAGGAAGTTTCTGGCCGGCAAAGAGGGCGGTTAAAGCACAGTGAAGGAGCGCGTGACAAGGAGGAGCAGCTATCCCTGGAGACAGTCATTAACGGCACTTCCACATGTCTGTGGCATGAGGTGCACGGTGAGGTGCCTTCCTCCCCTCAAGGTCTTGACCAAAGTGGCTGATTCTGGAACCTCTGCTCCCTCCCCTCCTGCACGTCCTCAGTGGGGAGAGCAGGGCCCGGCTTGGTCCTGACAGGGCAGAAAAGCTGATGGAAAAGGGGCCCCTGGTCCTCAGCCCCAGCCCATAGTACGGGGCACAGCTCTGGTTAAGCAGTGCCTAGCAGTGGGACTGGAACTGGTTTCCCGGGAAGGAGGGAGACCCTAGAGAAAGTACCCACAGTCCCTGGTCCCGCCGCGAACCGCGCCATGGGAGTTGGCCTTCTCCTGGGGTTGTGAAGAGGACACAGCGGGTGTGGCCTGAACACAGGTGGCCAAGAGCACCGGGAGATGCCAACCTCTAAAATGAGTGCAAGGATGGCTTCAAAGTCTCCGGCAAACTGAAGGAGTATCTGGAATCTATAGCTCCATAGAGGGCTTCAGGCCACCCTACCAGGGCACCCACACACGTCCAAGCGCGCGCCCACTCACCGGCCTCCGTCCCCCGCCCACCAACACGCCGCGGCAGAGCCCCGGGAAATTCCTGGAGAGCCGCCGCCCCCGGCCTCCCGGCGCCTGTCCGCCCACGCAGGCTTCCCGGCCCTCTCTCTGCAAGGCCCGGTGCCCTGGCCCAGAAGGGGAGGTTGGGGTGAAGCCGACGCGCGGCAGCTCGAGGTGCCCTTCCACGGGGCAGCAGGGCCCACAGATGGGGCCGCCCTATGCCGCCTCCCGAGGACCCCCGCGACCACCCCACAGCAGCACCCCGTACCCTGGCACGGCACCGTCCGCCCCCAACAGCCACCTCCCATCTGGGGTGCCTGAAGCCAACGAGGGAGCCGCATGCCCTACGGCGCCCCAGCTCGGCCTCTCGGTCCCGGAGAGCCGTCCCCCCACCCTCCTGCAGCAGCCCGGCCGGAAACAATCACCCTTTGAGAGAGGCTGCCAAGCTGGGCGCCAGGAGCAGCCAGGATGGAGGCGGGGAGGAATGGGGGTGCAGCGGGGGCCGAGCTTTAACTCTCGAGAGCCGAGATCTGGGGGTGCGCTCGGCCCCTGCCCGCCACCCCTGCTCGGCGCCTGCAGCCGGAGCCGCCTCCCGGGGGACGGTGCCGGGGGCGGGAGGGGGCGCTGGGGAGGTGATACCAATCCCCTGGGGGGTCCCTCGCCGGCCTCCCTCCCCGCGCCCCCGCCTCGGCTGGCGAGGTTGGTACCGACCATTAGCAGCTCGGGTCCCGCCGGCGCTGGCGCGGGCTCGGGGCGGGGGCGGGGCGGGGGCGGAGAGCGGGTGGGGGCGGGGCGGGAGGCGCTGGCAGAGCCGCGGAGGCACCGGCGCATCCGCCACCACCGAGGGACTGTGCGCCGGCCCGGTCTGCTCGGCTCCGGCCCCGCGCCCCGCTCGCCCCCCGCGCCTGCTCCCCGCGGCGCCCTCCCCGCTCCCCCCTCCCCTCCCGCTCCCGCCCCCCGCCCCCCGCTCCCGCCCCCCGCTCCCTCCCGCGCCCTCCCTCCCGCGCGCTCCCAGCCTTCGGCCGCCGCCTCGCGAAGCCCAGAACGAGCCGGGCCGGGGCGGCGGGGCCGGGCGGGGCTGCGGGAGGGCGGGCGGGTGCGCGGACCCCGCGGCTATGAAGTGGCCCCCGCGGGCCCGGAGCCCGAGAGTCCCCGGGGAGGGAACCGCGCGCGGCCCAGGACAGCAGCCTCGGGGCGCCGGGGCCGGGGCGTAGGGCCGTCGCCCGCGATGGACCGCACCAGGGACGCTCCGGATTCGTCGCCGCAGGTCAGTGCTCCCCGCGCCCCCGCGGGCGCCCCGCCGCGCACAGAGCCCCGTTCTGCGTCCCCATCGGCGCCCACGCCATGTCCTCCCGGGCGCGCGCTGGGGTGTGTGTGCGCTGCGCGCGCCGGGGGCAGCTGGAGAGGGGGCCGAGAACCGAGCTCGGCCGGGAGGCGCTGCTGCCGAGGGGCTGCGAAACAAAACCCGGCACCGCCTGCCCTCGTCGGCCGGAATTAGGGGAAGAGCTGGTTCTCAGCAGCTTCTAACAATTGGCCCGGGCTCTCAGCCGTCAGCCCCGGCCCCCTCAGCAGGTGGTTTCTGGTGGCCGGATGAGGAGTCAGGGGTCAGTCGTCCCCCACCTCCCCACCCCTGATGCCCAGCAGCCCTCTCTGGATCGCTCTCTGGCTCCTGGGCACTGCCGAGTTAACTCTCCTGAGGGGGCCCGAGCTCTGCGGGGCATGCTGAGGGACCCAGGGGTGGCAAGGGTGGCAAAGGGCCCTTGGGACCTTCGGTGTAGCAAGGAGGAAGGAGGCGCGACCAATTCACCACCCTCCCATCTGCGCCTGGGCTCAGGTCTGAGGTCCCAATCCCTCCAAAGTCAGAGCACACAACTTCCAGAAAAAGGAGGCTCAGTTGAGGCAGGAAATAGAGAAGGAAGCCACCGGGTCCGACAGTGCCAGGGAAAGGAGGTGACAGCCCCGTACCAAGCAGCTAAGGTCAAGAACCACCCCCACATGCACACACATGGGAGCCTTGGCCAACCTCCCTGTCCCCTTTCTCCCCCAGCCAGGCCTAGCTGCATGGATTCTTGCAGAAGCTGGAGCTGAAGGACTCCGGAGATTTCTAGCGTACAGGAAGGGGACCTTTACTGACAGTTGCTAGCCCAGTGCATGGGCACCAGTGAGCGGGGTTCCCAATGAGGCCTACAGCTCGGGCTGTGTAGTATGCACTGTTGAAAATGTTGGGGTATGGACATCCTAGGGCCTAGCACTGTGCGATGGCTGGATGTGTTTGTGTGGAAATGGGAGGCACACTACTCCCTAGGTTACTAGGGCCGTGGGGCATGTGGCTGTACGGGACTGTTGTTCTAGGGTTTTCTAACATTTGTCTTCTGTGATTATGTCTCCCTACCTCTGCTGGTAGCCACTACCGAGATTGAGACATTTCCTCCTAGAGCCTGCTCAGTTAGTGACCATTAATGGCCTTACTGGACCAAACACCAAGCGTTCCCTTTCTTGCCGTGGGGTGAAGACCCTTTCTCATTCTGCCCAGTCCATGCCCAGCACTGCCAAAGGTTCCAGAGCTTAGAGACACTTTCCCTCTTCCCCTTTTGATGGAAGCAGAAATACTTGCTAAGGTTAGTGGGACTGGGAGAGTTAATGCATCTGTGCCCCAGTCCGCACTGGAGCCGGGAGCTTGCTGTTCCCGTTTCTGTGCCTGACCCCAGGGTGCTTGGGGATCACTCCAGGTCCAGGCGAGCTGAAGGCTTGCAGACGCGGCGTTGAGTATGTGTGTGTAGGTTTCTGGTTGGGCAGGTACTCACTGTTCCACCAGAAGCAGGCGGCAGGTAAATCACTGAGGAGATCAGCTCCAGCAACCGGATTGGAGCCCGTGGCAGAGACCAAGGAGCTTCACAGGAGGATGCCCTGGGGCAAGCCCAGTTCCCCGGCTTAGGCTTCCGGAGAGACCTGAAGGTTCTCTTAGTGGTTTCTCGGGGGTCCTTACCCCTGAGACCCAGTAAGATGTACTTTTCCTAGTTGTGTAGCGTAGGGTGATGAGGCAGGCCGGGAGCTGGGAGTGTGAAATGGGGAAGAGGATGTGCTGCCTGAAAGGCTAATGGATGGGAGCATGGTGCTCCATTGTGTCTGAAAGAGAGGGATGAGGGCTCCTCTCTGATGAGAATGGAGAGGAGGAGAGGAAGGGGCTCAGGAGGAGAAGGATTCTGAGAGAGCCTGACACAGGCAGAGAAAGACGCAGTGAGACAAGGGACAAAGGCACAGAGGCACACTGGCAGATGGCAGAGGGAGGCACACAGGCAGAAGTCAGGGTGGGCTGAGTGGTGAGTTGGGGTGGGCTGGGGGCCTCTCCATGTTCCCCGACATCGACCTCAGCAATTGTCCACCCCTGCAGGAGGCCCCTCACTGGAGCAGTTGGACATTCTACTGAGGAAGGTGCTTTCCTGTGGCTCTGATGAATGTTAAGGGTCTTTTAGACAGAAGCCCAAAGGCAGAGGGAGGACAGGCTCTGAGGTCAAGCACATCAAGAGCTTGCAGGAATTTTCAGGGACACCCTTTGCCCCTGATTATCTCCCAGTGCTGAGGGTTCCTCTCCATCTTCTGGCCCCTGCCCCAGCCCTCCTGGTCCTGGAATGCAGGGCAGTGGGGAAGGATGTGGGGTCTGGGGAAACCTGGCACTCAGGAGAAGAGAAGTCATGCACCCCCACTCCCCATGCCTCCAGGCAAAAAGACCTTTGTGGACCCTACTGAAGACTAGCCAGGGGACATGGAAGAAGTGCCGTGGGGACAGGCCCTTGGCCAGGCTGTCTGAGGCCCAGTCTCAGCTCCATCTGTGGCTAGCCGAGTAGACTTTGAAAAAAACAGAGCTCTCTAAGCCCCAGCTTCCTGACAATCTATAAATCGGGAAACTGTCATCTCACCAGTTTTCAGAAGAAATACTAGATGAATTTTAATTTAATCTATGTGTTTTATACACTCTCACCCCCTTTCTTCCAGGATGAGGATGGCTCTAGAATTTGGAGTAGCAGTGTCAGGCCAGTCCTGGAGCCAATCCCGCTGGAATTGGTGCAGGCTGTCCCACCTCCCTCCTCACCCACTTGAGTCGTCACACCTCCACACTCTGGGCCGGACCTACCCTTCTTTATCCCGACCCAAAGAACCCAGAGCATGCCTTGGCTCAGAGTTCGTCCTCGCCAAACACAAAATAATATTTGCTTGTCTAATTACTGTTAAATATAATCCTTCCAATTTATCAGCAAATGGTCAAAAAAAAAAAAAAAAAAAAACTCTTGACACAGAAATTTCAGATCTGTGAGCCCTTCTTATCCATGCTGAAAGGTGACAGGGTGGTCAGAGATCCCCGAAAATTCAGTTCACTTGCACCAACAGTGACCAAGCACCTACTGTGTGGGAGGCTCTGCACCAGGTGCTGGGAACGTAAAACATCAAATAATCCAAAAATCCAAATCTGGTGTTTTCTGTTTAGCTTTGGAAGGGTTACGTGGGTTCCTTTTTTTTTTTTTTTTTTTTTTGCAGCTACAGCAAATTTACTTTTCTAATGAGGTTTAGCTCCAGCCAATATTAAAATGAGCCTGCGTTCCCTGCGCACACACCAGCTGACAGCAGGGCAGGAGGCAGCCTCCGCGCCAAGTGCCTGGCAGGGATTAAGGCTTTGCCACTGATAAGCCCAAAAGTGGAGAGTGTGAGTCTGGATCAAGAGTTGACTGGATTTGAGGACTAACCTCGCCCGGGGGCTGTGGATTCCACGGCTCAGTCTTCAGAGCCATGGCAGGAGCTCTCTCTTCTCATACGTGGGAAATGTGAGCCAGCTCTCTGCTCACAGGAAGAAGACCGAGTGGGACGGGGGAGTGGAGATGTGAAGGCGTGGTGTGGGGAGTGCCAGTGGCACTGTAGTTGGAGGCCTGGCTCTGCCCGTCCTGTCTGGCTGGCTGTGTGGGCCGGAGTCCTCTCCTTCCCCTCTGCCCATCTTGCTTCCTCTTTCTAAGGCAGGTGAGCAATCTGGCCTCTGAAGCCGTGAGTCTCTGTTTGAACTCTGGGCTACTCAGTTGTCTGTTGTTCAGAAACTGTTAGAGCCCAATACTGGGCATGGGGGGCTGCTTCCCGCATCCCTCCTCACCCTGAGCAGCTCCTCAGTCCCACCAGCCACATTCCAAGTGCACAACAGCCACATGTGGCCAGAGGCTGCCATCTTGGGCGGCACAGATACAGAACGTCCCTGGCAGCACGGAAAGTTCTAGTGGGCAGAGTGTTGTGGACCTGAACCCGCACAGGTGTTTCGCCAGGTGGCTAAGTACAAGGCCCTACTGGCTGGATTCAGATCCTGGTTCTGCCACTTAGTAGCTGTGTGGCCTCAGGACATTGCTTAACCTCTCTGTGCCTCAGACTTCTCAATTTTAAAATGAGGGTAATAATAGGATGTTTCTGAGGAGGAAATGAGTCATTACAGTTAATCATGCTAATCAGAGCATGCAACAGCAAGAGCTTTTTTATTTTTTATTTGAAAATAGAAAGCCATTTTTATTATTCATTTATTTAACAATTCGCTTAAACGCTTATTGAGAAGCCCACTCTGCCAGGCCGCCCCCCCACCCCACCCGATCAGCACGAGGCCTTGCGACCTCTCTGACCTTCCTGAGCCTCCACCTCGTCCCCTAGGATGGGGTTATTCCTGACCACACACCCCTGGGAGCTAGAATGAGATGAGGAAAGCATCCTCACGTTATGCAGACGCAGCCAGATAGAGCGGCTGATGCTTTTTGGAGGTGAGCGCAACTGAAATTCTGTTTTGTCACTAAAAAGCATCTGCTAAGCCCCCATACTTTCAAAATAAGAGCAGCAAAGGAGGCATGGTTAGCTGCCACCAGCCAGCACCATGCCGAGCAGGGATGGAAGAAGGGATTCGAGGGGCCCCTGCCTGGGCTCACCCTTCCCTCGTCTGGAGGGCAAGAGAGCCCAGAGGCCGTTGTGGGCTCAGTGGAGGGAAGCGGCGGGAGCAGAGCCTGCAGGTCTTAGAGGCCAGCCGACTGTGCTGCCAGGAGCCCCCCAGGTGCTGGTCCCAGCTGTGTCTGCAGCTCACTGTGCCACAGACACTGGTGGGCCTCAGTTTCCTCATCTAAGGCAGGAGGGGCAGGGCTGCACGAGCGTTTCCTCACCTGGAAGAATCACTTCCACAGAGCGACCCAAGCCGGAGGCCGGAGGGAGGAGCCTGCCCGCCAAGCCACCGGGGTGGAAGATGAGGGCTGGCCAGAG